TCCCTTTGCAGTAGTGAATTCTGCTAGGTGTAGAAGAAAATTTCCTTCCAAATTATCTGACGGTGTAGTTAGAGTGATCGTTCACAAAAAGCGAAAAGCCTCCAGCTTGCTTCGGAATCAATCCGAATCCGCACAAATGCTCACTTGAAATTTCACCATGTGAAACCAGAACGTTGATAAAACCGACTCTTTTGCACATAACTTAGAGATTTATTTTTAATTTAACAGGATTTTGATGTCCTTTGAGTTGTGTGCTATTGAAAATTCTTGGAAATTCTCCATATATTTCAAAAGAAACCAATTGTATTTTTTTAAGTAAAAATTGACGTATTTTGCTTCAATACGAAGCGCACTCAACATTCACTAAAGGCACAGTTCGCAATAATTTCATGGTACCTAATTTGAGTGAAATAGTGGAGGTGATGGTGCAGAATAGAGCTAAGGAGGCGAAGGAAGGGCGAAGGTCGGTGACACGTAGGGGTATTTGGACAAGATTTCAGAAGTTGCAATTGCAATAGGGTAGACTACACTGGGCCAAAAACTCCAATGGTGCCTCCCCCCCCCCCCCCCCCCCCCCCCCCCCCCAGTGTCATCATGGGTTACAACTAATTGTTTGACTCCATTCAGGATGGCATTCAGCGAATACTATCTTTATGCAATTATTACATCCCATGTAAGCGTTTTCGATCAGACGGCGCCACGTATGACTTTGCAGTGCTACGCAGAAGCCCTAGAGTTATCACGATAGAATCTTGATCCAAGCCGAAGTTTCATCTAATGCTCACTCTGATCGTGGAACGTCGTAAAGATAGTCGTATTAGTTGCGTAATGGTAGGTGTGAAAAGGAATTACTGGGAGGGGATGGGTCTGCCCTGCATTCCCGTTGTTGTGCATAGCAGACCTTATACAATGTCCCCCTTCTTTCGAAGCCTTTGAAGTCTTCACTTTTGCCCAGATTCGTTTAATAGAGCAGAACTGATGGATTAGTCGATCAGCGACTGTTTGCTGTGTAATACGATCCTGTCCGTCTGCCTGTACCAATTATTCATCCTATGAACTAACTACTTTATGAAGAATATTATGCATAACTATACGTATTTTATAGGAATCTAAACTTTTGATCAGTATCATGTGCACAGTACTCAATTTCTACTCCGTTTTCCAATCTAAACAACGTCTCTCCGATCAGCTGAACGATCTGTCCGTCTCTTTCCCCGTCCTCCTCCGTCAACTAGCCCATTATTGTTTGCCTCTCTTCTCGCCCTTCTCTGAGAGGCTACGACCAAGCTATCGCGTCCCATACAATTCATATACACATCAACCCACTTATCTTTGCTGTTCTCCTCGCTTTGAAGAGTGTCTCGACGGTTTTTATTTCTTCCATTTCCATTCTTAGCTTCGATTACAAGAAAATTATATTGTTTACTTCGTGCTTTGCCACTTGAACTGTTGGGAGCATAACAAGTTGTCAAGGTTATTGTTAGCATTTTAGCCAGTTTCCTCCCACTCGTGCTGTCATAGGTTGTCTTGGATTTACACGATTACCGGAGGAGCTGCCATTACTGACTTCCTTTTCTAAATTTTTTCAAACCACATATTTTTACATCGTCTCCTAACTGTGACTACAAGTGGCCCGGTGGGTCCACTTCCAAAACCACGGATCGAGCCAATCTTACGGAAATTTTTGGCAAACACAAGTTTTTGTAACAGTTTTGAAAATGCGTTATGATGATGGTACAGGAATTATCCCGGACAAGTCTCTCTAATGTGCGCCATGCGTTAGACTTCTACTCATATTATACACAGTGGCAGATCTGTAAACTAAGCTAAAGTAGGTGGAATGATGACAATAGATAGTCTTTAGGGATTTTACGACAACTCACTCCTATCGTTGCTTCAGATGTGGAGTTGTTGTTAGAAATGACAGCCAAAAGGCCACAAGGTGTCTCCTGTTTGCTCTGCTTAAGGGTTGTAGAAGGTTTTCGTTTCAAACGCCGGGGTTCGTGCTTCACCCACTAACTTCGAGACTTGTTTTAGTAGATTCATTTTGATTCAGAAGATCACGAAAGAGGGTCATTCATCAATGAAACGAGTCATTCATCAGTGAGCTGAACATTGTATGAGACAAACTGGTTAACCTTCTGGTTCAGTGGTTTGTGTGTTGACTTCATGCACTGCCATGGTTCCAAATGGTACCAAATGTAATAAGGTGCAGGAGCCTTAAAGTTACACTGAGATTTACAACCAGTGGGATCTCAGCTCCCAGATTGGTGAGTATAGTCACTGCTTGTGCGTTTGTTGGGGGATTATTTTTAATCCCATTCATCCGTTTATCAGTTTCACAATGATCACTAGTTTCTCACCAGATTTCTTCCCGTGCCTTTCACTTTATTACTACGTAGTGCAGGTCGTAGCACAAGGTATCATATTGTGCCTGCAATAAAACGCCTCTGTTTTAATTGACCGTGGGACAGTGGTGTTTGGCAGTCTGTAACTTTATATGAGCCAAATTCGCTCTCAAACGCCTTTGAAAGAAGCCGATGAATTAAGGTCAAAGGGTTAACAATTCTTAAGCTTTTCGTCATCTTCACCTGCGCCATTCTTTGCATCGTCTAGGCTTATTGACTTTTAAGCATCCACATTTTTCGAAAAAAGAGGAGCGTCTGAAACTTCTTTCAAAATTCCGTCTATTTCGCTTCTAAGTAAATGTACCGAAAGATTTGAATGTGAGCAAACAGACGTTCACCCAAATCGATTTTCCTTGCTTTTCAGGCTTGACTCATCCTTTGAAACATTCTTTGCAAAAAAAGCCAACATTTTCTGCCTCTCTCGAGAAATCCTCTTGATTTATCCTTCATTAGTGCTCATTTCAACAATGTTTGTTTTGCATAATGCGATGATCAGATGTTTGCTCATTGCCTTTGAACGAGGAAACCTTCTAGACTATTCGCAAAGGACTTTCTCGGAACAGAAGAATTGAAAATACCGTAATCCGAACTTCCTATTTACACAAGGTCTCGTTCTATTTTTTCTGACATAGGATCACGCTCACATCACTTCAGCAGAGTATCCCTGGTGTGAGGTTATACCTGTTTCTGCACACCATCATAGGTGATAAGTATGAGAATAAGATTTTTGGCGTTATTCAATCCCGTCTTAAGGATGCGCCCACGCATTCGACTCCATTCAGAATCGTTGTGGGAGATGCGTATGTGGCCTATACAATGACTTGTGGTGGTCAGTCGAAGGAGAAACTTTATCCTCCCATACGAGTCTGGTACCAATTAACCGATACCGGAGGGATGGAGGGCTTGGCTGGCCTAGGCGGATATCGCTTTGGGATTCGAATCCGCGACAATACGTGTGCGTGAAGTGCGACACTTGCCACTACACCACTTTCGCCTGCTTGCTATCCTAGGTGATGCTAATGGCGGGCTGATATTCACTGTAAGGGATCTTTTAAAGAGGTCGATAACAAGAAACCACGCAGAGTGCCAATTTGTTGTCTACGGTTATCGATTATCAGATACGTGTTTTTAACCATTGGGTTAGAATGAGGGCTGACTTGTTGAGTACCTTCGCTTGAAATTCTGGTTCTTGCAAAGGTAGCATGAAAAAACAGAGAGCCTGCCCAGGAGATACGGCTTCTTCCGAGAAGATAGAGTCCGAAGCTCTTCAATCAAAGTGAGAACTCAAGAACATTGATCTTCACCATTCCACTCAGGCTACGCAGCAATGTTCTCAAATTTTGATCGCTGAATGGTATTGTACTCGAGTGCGCAGCACATCGCGTAAGAATTTCAAAGGTCTAGGGTAGGCTTAAGAGCAGCCAATCCGGAAAAGCACAATAGCCCATTTACTAAGACCATTTCCGCCATATTCCAAAAAATGTTAGTTCTGGCCTATTCACGAAACGTCTTTCGCATTTGGCAGGCTATTTCTGCCCTCCAAAGTGATTGAGTGCAGTTCTTATTATTGTCAGGGTAATTTCTTGGCGCTACTACGAGGACGCACCGCCATAATCTTCCACCAAGGTCAAACTCATACAGGGTTCGTCCCGTTACAGATGATATTTGGGACTGTGGGTAAACGAAGTCATAAGGGTAATTCGACAACAGGGTATCTCCACCGTACACAACTTTATGAAGAGAAGGGAAGTTCCACAGATCACAAAGCAGGTGACAGTGTTGAGGAGGCCCTCAAAATTCCCACTAGAGACAATTCTATCGGTAGTATGTGGCGATCAATTACCTTTCTCCCAAGAAGCTTTTTTTGGAAAGCGGAACTGTTAATGCTCTTATCTGCTGAAATTGCCTCAATGGTGAGGTTAAGCGATGTGTAGAAAATGTGCAGGTGAAGCTGGTCATATGGTAACTGAATCAGGAAGCTCATTGGGACCTCCTTATCAATTTGCTTTTCCGTTAGCTCATTTGCAACTCTTATGAACCACTAGCTATTAGTTTGGCTTGGGATTATCACTGCTAGTGATCCTTTCCGCTAAACAGTACATCGACTGAAGCCAATAGTTCTTATTGTTGTCTAGGGATGCTTCTTTGATGACGATGGCGTAGTAGTCTTACAGTTAGAAGCAGGTTGGTTATGGGAAGCATCTCCTTCTACAGTTACGTCATTCGATCTTTGTATCAATTCTCGTGGATTGTGTTATGATAGCCCTGTCTGCTATACCTGCATTGAAGAGACAATCGAGTATCTTTGCCTGTGACTTATTGGCTGCTCCTTTTCATTGTATTGGCTCATTCCTCATTCAAAACTTCTATTATACATTCATTAATAGACGTCGAATGCGCAGCTCAATACAGGTTCGCAGTGCTAAGCGGTTCCTTTCTTTCTGTGTCCAAACTGATAAAACCGGTAACCTGCTCACAATGGTTTTTCCACGAGATTCTTAATTTCGTTCACAAGGGTTATGTTGTACCGAGAAGTCATCTTTACTACGGTCTCTTTTGGTCCTTTGATCCGTTCATGAATCGACTTTTCAGATGATTGTCTTATTACTGATTTCGGGTCTTTTCCTACCAGCAGCGTCTCCAGCAATGTGCTACCAATGTGCTTCGGAGCTTGCTTTGATTGTAAGATTAGAGAATGCTCAAAAAAATTCCACCTCACTTACTGACATCCTTCAGAATTGGTCTCGTTATGGTCTTCCACCGATGCAGGGTGATTCTATGATGGCTGATGATGCATGTCTGGACGACAACAGTTTAACGGGACATGTACCATGTAGTGCACCATGTATGACCATCAACATCACTGCTGTAGGTGGGAAACATGATGGAAGGGTCATCGGTAAGTAATCGGGCATCCCTGGCGAAACCTCCGAATTTACTTTTCATTCCTTGTGATGTGTTAACTCAATGTTTCGAGATTCACTGGCAGAACTCTTTGTAGGAATCGTTCGCGATTGCCAAACATATTTTCGAAGTCCAAAAGCGTTACCAGAGGGGACGGATCGTATCTGTCGCCACAGTGTGCGGGACACAGTGCGGAACCATCGGTAATTTTTTTCTAGTATTGTTGGTTTATGAATGGCCCCTAAAGGGACTTATACTGATTTGAGATAGATGAATAACGGGATGAGATGCTGCAAATTCACCACTCCTGGGTAGTGTTTTTCTGCGGTTGGTACGTCTTCCTTTTGAACTTGCAGTTCGATTGTGTAGTAAAAACACTCAGAAACCGGGAGGAATAGGCATAAAAACCGAAGGTCCCTGAATTAGTGGAGAGGCATATTTTAAAGACATTGTGGCAAGTTCGAAAGTTGATCATATGACAGTCTCCAGACATGGAAAAAAGGAAAAGATAAGCATAGGGCTATATTAAGGGCTAAGCCTACCTTTGAAGTGAGGTGCTGTATTCAAATCTCCAGCTCGGGGTTTCAGCATGGGCTAGAGAGCGGAAAGCAGTTGAGGGGGCTAGCAGCCTACGAACACAAGGGAGGTCAGGTATTCGTGTTATTCGTCAGCACACTAGTTTTAACGGGATTGGTATGCATTGGATAGGACTGTCGCAAAAAGTTTGCAGTGTGTATCAGCGATCTTCTGAAGATTGCGGAAAGTCGGTAAAGGTTAAAAATTACATAGAACTTGATTTCGGGATTTATACCGTCAAAGCTTTTTTCTTACTATCGTCTCACCTTGTTTTGTCTCGCCGCGAGCTCGGCGTCATACTCGCCGCCCAGTACCCGGTACAACTGCACCACACCAAGGGGAACAAAACAGAAAGCAGAACAGCAACTAAAGATAATAATTGCCTACCGATCGAACTGTGGGAAATTCGCAACAACTGCGGAAGCGAGGGAACTTGCCGAAATCGCTGCGCCCAATGAGTTGAAACGGTTCTCAACTGCCAGTTTCCCAGAAGAAGTAGAAGGTCAAGTTATGTGGGCGAGATTCGACCTAGTAGTCGTGCAAATGAATACGGACGCTTTACTAATCGCAGGATTGTCGCGAGTATTTATAGTACTATTCAAGAGGTTCTACTAAATAAAAAGGGATTATATTTTTCAAACTGGAGTTTTATCGGAATGTATATATTTCGCCAAACATACTGAGTGGGGTCATTTCATGTGGAACCGTCAAGTTAGTCTCCAGAATCTCGTTTTTCCGGATATTCATCTTGATTTCAGAATAAATGTGACATTCTGCTATTGCAATGGACACTTATGTAATGGAATGGCTCCGCAAGTACAGCTCCGACGACTTGCTCAACGACGGCATCCACGGCTGCCGGACGGGTCTATGACAAGCCGGGAACTGTCATTGAAACTTGCCATGGTGGCTGTGTGGCTTCTTATTTAGAAAAATGGATATCTTGACTAAAATCAAATTTTCCGGGTTAACGGATCACATAAGACATGTAATCAGCACCGTATTGTGCATCTATATTACATTCTATTCTCAGATACTGTATTGGAGCTTCCTTATTAGGTGATTTGCTGGGTGAGTCAGTGTCAAAGGTTTCTTGACTCTGGATGTTTCTTGCATCTTCCTTGTAGATGTATTGTTCCGCATGATCCGTAATTGTTGTACTTTTTCGCAATCAATTTTATTTATGATATCCACAGTTTACCCGTAGTGCATTTGCGTTCTAAAAACGGGATCATGCTTCCCACCACCTACGGGACGTCAACTGACATAAACTCTAATTTGCGACAACTCGCGCCAGTTCGCGACGAATCTACGGTAGTGATCCCATGGTAGCGAACTATGTACTGGAATTCCTGATCGCCGGGACGTTCGGGGCAGTGTTTTCATGGCGAATACCCTTATCACCCATCGGAAATTCAAATCCTGCCCTTACACTACGCGCTCGGACAAGCAGAGGAAGCTGCTAGCGCGGCGTTCTGTTCGAGTACAAGATGCCACAGCCAACCGCCAGAGCCGTGTTCACTAGCACTAGGCAGGCCTCTTCGTCAACCGGAAGGTGATTTTCATATTTGCCCTGTACAGCATACGCTCCAGCATCCTCTCCCCCCTCTTCTGATTTAGTTTGCATGCATGCGGGAGCCTAAAATCCCAAACCCTATTGCTGAATGTCTCCTTTAATGCGGAAACTTGCTAAGAATCAGCGAGTAGTGACTATCATTGATCTTAGAAAGTGAAGCTGAAGTAGTTGACATCATTTTGTAGATTGCAACCTGTAAAAGTGCCTTGTGGTCGGTGCTCTGTAACTGCTGCTTGTGAAGTAGGGTGTAAGAAGCGAACCCACAAACTATGAATCTCGTCGTTCCCTTGCTTAGCAGTTGTCGTCTACATAGGTAAAGTATGCAAGTACCTGGACAAAGTGAACGATAATTTGATTTTTTGGTATTTCGAATCATCGTCGTGCATTTGAGTAACGGTGATCGTAACAGTGGTGTTTATCATTTCCAAGGAAAAGTCACCTTTCTCGTCATTCCTTTTCATCTCGTGATCTTAAAGTAATCTCAGATACTTTTGAACTGAAAAGTCTTCAGTATGCCTTTTTTCTCTTGAGCCTTTTCGACGGTTCAGTAGTGCACGATATGTTGTGTCGGAATCTTAGTGAAATTTATTTCCTATTTTCAGACTAGAACTATGAAGGCCTTCACTTTTGACGCTCGTTTCTGCCATTTTCTCTTTGTCGGTTGAGCGTTGTACAGTTCAGTTTCAACTTTGTTTCCTTATCATTCGTCTTATGGGGTGTAATTCGAACGAAATTCTACGTTGAGTTGTATACTTTTACCGGTGAAATTTTTCAATGCTTTTCTGGATTGAATCATTGTTATTTCCTTTCTGTCTTTGCAACAAATGCTCGAAGATGAAAATAGAGTTCATTTGGAACGGATTCTGACAATTAATTCTTTCATATTTAAGCGGATTGGCCAGTGCAGCAGGTCGTCTGGACAAGAATGATCAGTGAAAACGTGGATCCGTAAAGTCTAGAGGACGTCACATTCTCAAAACCAGATGGGCTATGCAAATTAATATGCGCATCCTAGCTAAGAACGCTTTCAACAGTTATGGATTTTTGATCTGAGTTCCACCTCTCAAGAATGGGCCTTTGGGTTAAGGAGGAATTGGATTACGGACTCATGTCAAAAATTCAGCCCACTGAGGGACGCCCCGCCCACTACGGGTGTTTCCCCTTCGTTTCATTTCTTGACCCATTCCTCGCCTCCCATTTTCATTTAATTTCTGCGGTGTCTATGAAGTTCTGGAAACAAATTAAGCAGATTTGCATCCCCCTCCCCACCTTCTTGAGTAAAACTCGGCTGAGTTCTCATGCGTTCTTTTAATTTTGCCCTGTCCCCCACCCATACAAAAACCCACTCTTCCCATCTCTGCAGTTGCTTCTTTAGGCATTATATAATAGTATTTCGTGATAGATAGATATACAGGTAAGCGCGAATTCTGCATGTATGTAGTAAACAATGATAATTTTCTTTGCAGTAAGTGGTGATTATGGCCGTAGATGTTTTTGGGTTGAGTTGTGAATTTGTTTCTCACCGCCGAATATCCATGCGCAGACTGTGCCGCCATGAAAGTTCGGCCACCTTTCCTCCACGGCCTCTAACCACTTTTACAGGTTCCAAATCGTCTTGAACAGATTTGTGAATGCTATTGGTTTCGCTCACCTCGGTGCACGTTTCACTCACCATCAAAATGTGATCACCCACCCTTCAATGAACTCCAAACGCTTTTAGAATGACTTCAATAAAGCTGTTGCTCTCCAAAAGATACGGGTCCTTGTTCTGCCGTTCAATTTTTTCCAGCCTCCAGGCTTTCATTGAACGAGCTATAAATCACGTAACAAGTAGCGCCCACTGTGAGAGTCTTCCACTCCCAGAGGACTGGCCACTGCCCAACTCATCCAAAATTTGACCCTACCTCGTACCTCTTAATGAATTTCTTCAGGGATTACCAAATTTTCTCGACAAACAATCATATCACTTCTCTTCCTAAGCGCGGTTCCCTGTATATTTGAGTCGTTTCTCAGACAAGTTGGAGTTACTGTAGAGCTCACAAAGTCAATATCGTTTTTTATTTATCTTGATCTGAATTCAGATTGCACGCCGACTTATCAGCTCCAGAGCTCTCAACGAATGAACTCTCACGTCAACCTGTAGTCTCTCTACTTTCCTAGCACTTTCGCAAAAATGTCCGACGAGCAGGCTATGTTCTTCTTCTTCGTTACTATTGATCAGGATATTTTCCCTCAAATTTGTAAGGAAAACAAAGCGATCCCAATAATGATTTTTTCGAGACTACAAAAACCAAACCCAGCTCGGAAGAGGTCATGCCCGCGCAGAACTTCGGAGGAAGACTGTAAAAAGGTTGCCCGTAGCTTCGATCATCGCTTCCGTCTCGAAGGTATCGGAGGCCTTTTTCAAATCACGTCAGTTCATTCATTCATTCCTCTGGTTTCGCATCACTCACTGCTGTTTTCCGTATAAATTAAGTAACCCGTCGTAGCTTAAAGCTACGTGCCGCCCATCCTGTTGCCTCTGATGAATTGTGTGTGGTGAAAAACGCTGGTTGAACTCTAATATAAAGAACGCAGGCTTCATCCCGTCATCCAGAACTCAAGCGATAGTCTTTATTGATGAAGGTCTGATGAAATACATTTGGACGTTGAAAGAAATAAGTACCATCATTTTATGGTGCATCACAGAGCCCTTCTTTTTTGTTACAGCAGCACTATTGGCAGTTACACATTGAGCCTATTACTGTTTTCTCATAAATGTAGTCTCCAATCAAATTCCCTCTGGAATTAAGTTTCAAGTTTCCTCTAAAGTGGGAAATCTGGGAATGAGAAAACATTTCTCTACAATGCTACGAATTTGGCGCAAAAAGTCGTGAATATGGAAACCTTTAATGTACAAACAAAAAGTTTCTTATACTGGCAACCTGCAAGCAAAAATTTATCACACACTTTCACGCCACATCCAATTTTTTTACTTGACTGCCAAACTATTCTGAATTTGGATAAGTATGCAAATTTTTTGCTGAAATGCAGACAATCCTGGGTATAAGGTCCAACGCCTCGATTGAATACCTGCACCGCCAATCGCCAATTTATTCTCCTCTCCAAAACCGTTAGTTTCCAATTCGCTGAACTACTTTTTGGCGCTCTGCGAAGAAGCTTTAATTAGCCACGACAAGGACCTACTCAATGCGATACTCGCCATTGTCGCGGCGTGGGTTTTGTTGAGAAGGGTATAGTCAACAACAATGTGTTTTCTCCGTTTACACGTTTAGAGTCTCGAAATATGCGCTTACTCAACCACTTACTCGTGCTTCCCACAAGTTTACAATCCAACTATAAAATGTACTGCGTCAGTTTACCAGACCTCCGCGCACTGTTGAGAAGCACGGTAGAACCCAATGCAACCTTACCGCCTTCTTCATTTTTCCTGCAGTTGGCGAGACCTATTTTCCCAGAGATCTGTAAATCTCCGACTCGCCCCGGTATCCGTTGTATTTCTTGAGAAACACATCTCTGCATCATCTATCATTCCACTTTGAGATTACATCTATCTTAGAGTAGTTACACGATTAGGACTCTCATATAATGGGAAATGTCGTGTAATGATACCCACGATCCTGCCAGTATAGCTGAGTTTAGCAACGCTTGGAATGACGTGAATCACACAAGTAAAGGCTATTCATACTAAACGAAACACAAGGCTTACTAGATGGAACAGTGCGGCAACCACGGACATTGTTCGAATCAAATGCCTGTCTGTTAAATTTCCGTTTATACTGTCTAATATAGAAAGAATTCTTGTACTTCTCGATATTCCTCAGCTAAGCAAACAGCTGTCATGAAATAGAGCCGGTTACCTTCTGATAAAAACAGCTTACTTCATACTACTTGTAGCAAAGGTTTCACTAAACTCCCCGCATTGGCCAGATCACCAATAGTCGAAGTAATAAGGCGAAGTTAAGCGGAACTACATTCCAGGACTGCTGTGATAGTTTGGGAAGGGGGTCAAAATTAAGAAAATTTAGCGATCCATGGAAGTCCCCACAGTAGTCATATGTTGCCATCGTCGTAGAAATTAGTGTTCTATGTACCGGGATAGTCTCCTTATTCGTGTGAAGGCGACCTACACATCACTCAACTCATTGACAGAAATAATTTCGCCTCGATGTATTTTATGGAATCACCTCAGCTAATTTATTTCGTAGTCTCTAACTGTTTATTACTTAGTTAGTCTAATTACCTTCTATACGGATTTCTGGTCATATTCATGAAAGCTACTGTCATGAATACTATGTGGTAGAAAAAATTGTATTCCGAAAAGACAGCTGGCACTATCTTTGTTTAAACTATCTGCTCAGTCGAAACACGGGAGAGTGCATGATATATAACCATGTAGGAGTCGTGCTAAGTTCCAACTAAGGTACACATTCGATTTGTGGTGCATGTTGTCTAGTAGAACCTGTAAAGAGATTATAGCGAGAGAGAATTTAATTGAGCACAGAAACTATAGACGCGGTCATCTAACCGAACAATCATTTGCACATTGTACTGAGTAAAGCCGATTACGTAGCGCACTTCAAAGCGAATTTTAAACACATCATCCTCAGCGACCATCAGCTCCTACAAGCGCTGGAATGTGCATCCCATATACATGCATTTGCTTTTCGGATGAAGTAATCCAAACCAGAGCATTTCCATAACTTTAGGATATCAGCTTATAGAACTCGCCCAACTGAGCTCAACGGTATCTCTGGCCTCTGAATTACTCCATCTAAACCGATTTATGGAGAAAAGACATAATAGACGCGAGTTCGCCTTATTCGCATGAATCTTCGAGCTCTTACGACGAGCACTGTACCTCGGGCAAGGTCCACGAAGTGGATGGTGCGAAGTGATCAAGAGGTTACTGTCAGAGCGATGCCGCAGGAGAAACGCAACATTCTGACTCGAACCCATGGTATCGAACACGATAACAAAGACGTGTTAGGATTATAGCGAGAGAGAGTTGCTATGATAAGCTTTAACCTCGTATCCTTTTGAATTCTTCGGAACAGCATGTGTTTTCGTAGGGTTTGTATCACGTGGGTAGTCAACAGATTCATTTGTATTTGTAGTCAGTTATGTAAAATACAATTTGATCTTCCACAAACTTGTCAACAACTTGTTATTTGCCTTAATGTTTTGTTATTGTTACAGTATGACATCTGATGGAAAGGATGGTCTTTTCCTGATTTACCTCTGAAGAAAACTGTCTCGTACTATTCCACAAGGACGCTACTCGCCATTATTCGTATTCGTGAATGTTGGCAATACCTTGCACTCAATTATTTTTCATAAACTGATCACACTTATGGCTAGCAGTGTGCAATTGCTTATAACCGTGCCTAGAGTATGCTTTCTATGGTCCGGATAACAAAGACAACACCACGACCGTGAATCGGACCCCAGGACAGTTAGCAATCAAAGAAAGGATCATCGCGAAGTACATTTTGATACGCAGATATCAATCGTAATAACATATCCTGACGGTAAGGTCTCACTTTCCTGCAATACTTATGAATGCTCAATGAGATCATTTCCAAGCTCGTTTCCATAAAGTCAGACACTATTTTAGGTAGAAATTGTGCATGACAATGAGCTCCTTCCTGTATTGAAGTACCCCTCGGAATCGAACTTTGCGCAGAATAAACACGCATTCAAAATCGCTGTCGGAATTTTCCTATCTAAGCAAGCCAGAAGGGGCTCTGGAGTTCCGACTCCGCGAACGAAGATGGCGTTGGTTATGCCAAGATGTGGAAAACTAGATGGGCCGGATATGAATATTACCAGTACTTGCACGGGAATGGCGTAATCAATCAAGAACAGTTTTTATACATATACATGAAAATGACTATTTTCATGTTCAGAAATCCATAGAGCTATGTTTTCAATTCGCATGCCTGCTCCTTTTAAACTGCCTGTAAATTTTTGTCCAATGAAAAAGGGCGAAAATTTCGTGAGCAGAGAAGTCGTATATCATTGTTATGCAACGAGCTCCCTGAGCCACGTGGAAGTAGGTTTGACGTCTGATGCTTATGAACTTAAAACATCTTAACTCTTCACCTACCTTTGGAGACCAACATTATCAAGAAATTATAAAATATCAAACAATGGGATTCCTAAAGAAGGATATGGAAATGTTCTGTCAGTCTGCAATCAGGCCTACATCACGAGAGGTTCACATTAGGAAGCTCAGAGGTATTCGCCGAAATTGTAGTGAAGTAATAATGAAAAACTTACATGGCTTTAGTGGCATATACTATGATATAGGCTTAAAATAAGCGAAATTCGGACAATATCGCGTCCACTTGGTTTCAATGAAGGCTAGAAAATATATTTTGTAAAACGGTGTGCACGCATTCTTGTCAACTTTAGACGAAACAAAAACACTTCCGTGTTTATATGAAACTTCAAAAGCGTGTGGGAGGAGCATCGAGTAGCAGACTCGAAGCCGTTCATTCAAGGAGTGATTTTCCTATGCTAAAATCATCCCGTGGCTGGACCACTTTGGTCTGTTTTTATATGCACCCACACATCTATGATTGAGCTTTCAACAAAAAAGGAGGTGGTTTAGTGGCAAGTGTCGGTCAGGGGTTCGAATCCCGGATCGATGCCCGCCCAGGCCAACCAAGCCTTCCATCCCTCAGACGGGATTGATCAACGCCAGAAACTTTATCCTTTCANTTGCTGTTAGTCCACCTCATTTCCGTTTTTTGCATGTGCACCCGCGTTCGGCTATAATCACAAATAGTGGTAGCGTACTGAAAGCGCTTNAAGGAGGTGGTTTAGTGGCAAGTGTCGGTCAGGGGTTCGAATCCCGGATCGATGCCCGCCCAGGCCAACCAAGCCTTCCATCCCTCAGACGGGATTGATCAACGCCAGAAACTTTATCCTTTCAAAACTTTATTAGCGTCAGTCCAGCCAGTTTTGGAAAGCACACGCATTCAACTTCATTCAGATTAACAGTGTAGTTTAGAACTCATATATGGCCTACGTCATGATTTACGCTGACTAGTCAATCTACAGGGTAGCACTTTTATCCACCCAGGCTAGTCTTGTAAGGATTAACCGACACCACAAGAAGGGGAGGGCTCCCTTAGTTCAGGCAGGTGCCGACAAAGCCAAAATAACAATCTTTGGTAATAATTCTTCTCAAAACGATGGCATAATGTATATAGGAACAGTCATGGAGTGAAGGAGCTTATCAATTGGTGAGGGGCTTATTAAAATGGGGGTCCCAACAGAGTTTGGTAATCTTAAAAAACCACAGTCTCGTAATACATTGCGAGTGAGGCTGCTTTTTATTTCTTCTAGTCTTGTAGTTTTCTTTTCAGAATGAAAGATTGGGTGTGGTGGATCAGCATGATATCAAACACTACCACAAACACGATTGGAGTCACTGCTAATGCTTTTTTGCTTTTCGTAATATTGGAGAAGACTCCACAACAGCTGGCCACTTACTCAGTTATTTTTCTCAACACTGCATTCTGCGATTTATTCGCCTGCTCTACTGCTCTTCTAGTGCGACAGAGGTAGGCATTGTGCTCCATGTGCTATGAACAAACGCCCAGCTCCACTTAAACCTAGAACGAAACCCATCGATGCTCAAAAAAAAGTTTGAAAGACCTGTTAAAAATTGAGTTTGACAGCGTGATACGAGTTCTGCGTTTGACTGGATTCACTTATATTATCTTCTGAATTCTTAGAGGCAATTTCGCGATAAAAATGACTCATGAGATATCCCTTTGGACTGAATCTGTGGCTCTCTCGTATACCATATTCGCGCCGACGGCAACGCCTTGCTCCTCGCTGTAGATGAGCATCGGGCTTCGCCGCGTTAGGAGCGGCGCACGTTGGCATAAGGGTTCGATCAAAGTCCTACTCAATCTTGCCCCTTTGCTACGCGGGACTTTTCTTTGGCCCTCATAACCTCTCAAATGGTTTTACACACAACCAACGCGATGCGGAAGCGACGTCCTACTGCACAACATAAATAATGCTCAGCCCGAGACCCGAGCGTGCCCTAGTAGGTGTGACCCTTCAGAAGTCGAGCGGTACCACGACAATATATAATATGGCGCTTTTAGGTCAAAAAACGGCCCAGATAAGGCGTTATAAAAGCTCAAAGATTGCCTCGTGTGTACGCACGGACGAGTCTCAACGGCACTGTAGAGGTTGTACATGCGTAAGGGAACCCATGTAGGAAGTACAAACAACTGAGCACGGTCCGTAGCGACATCTATGGCAATTTTAGACATTTTGACATGAAGTGGTTAGCTTTTCAGGCTATTGCAAAAACTGAAATCTCGTCCAAGCACCCCTTTTGTGCCATTTCTGTCATGATAATCTCGCGCAAGCTCTATTTTCACTACTTCTAAGGAATCTTAATTTTCACAAAATCGGCGAGTTTTCTCGCATCCATCACCACCGATGTACTAATCCCAAGCAGTACTTCCGCTCTTCGACTTGAGAATCGTGCCTAAGAATTAATGTGAACTGTGCATTCAAGAAAAAAGATAAGAAAAAGTACGCCACAAAAGCTTAACGAAAGTTTTGGTCAGTTGCTACAATGACTTCATGAACAAAGAGAATTTCATTTAATGAGGCAGTTGAGGATGACGTAATACATAGGGGGCTGCTGTGAAGAGAAGAAAAAAATAACGATCGTTGTTCACGATATTCGATAACAGAAGTTGAGCACCCCTTTAACTAACAACTCGCCTGTTCATGGTTGCGTGACAGCCCAGGAGATAAAGTTCACATATCTGGTTATAAAGCTGAGAAAACGGGTGCGAAATCAGTTCGTGGATCATGCGTAGTTGAATAGTTCAGCTGAATAATGTTCCCCTCGAGTCGCTCAAGTTCCATTCTTTTTCAGAGTCATACCTACCGGTGCGGGGATATACTTCATTTCTTATGGTCCATGTACACTTTTCGGACCGTCGGTGTGCTACTTCATGTGAGTACTCAGACTCAGAGTCTGCCAAGTAATGAAAATTTTTCACTTCTCCAGAACTACTAAAGCCCTTTCGCCCTAGATATGCTGTCATGTTACACTTATTCTCTCATGCGATATGGGGCATTTTGTTTTCGTTCGCTTACCGTTATTATATCATTAGCCATGCTCCTCCGAAACGAAGCAGTATCGCAGTTTTTCTTGTTTTAATGTATTTGCCATCATTCATTCAGCTCGTGAGTTTTATGCAGTCATTCACAATTCTCGTACTTATATGATTTTTGATTTGACTGTTGTTGAGTTTTTAAGCAGGGCTTTTGCTGTTAGTCCACCTCATTTCCGTTTTTTGCATGTGCACCCGCGTTCGGCTATAATCACAAATCGTGGTAGCGTACTGAAAGCGCTTTGTCAGATATAATGACATGCGGTCACCCGATGTACATGTCAGGGCTTTTACCCCTCAGACAAGTCTGGCACCAATGGAGAGAAGGCTCGGTTGGTATGGACAATTACTGACCCGGATTCGAACCATTGATCAGGCATGTGTGCTGAGTGTGCCACTGCACCGCCTCCGCTCCTGTAGATGTGCGCGTAACCAAAATGAAACATTTCTACATAATATTCCTTTGCAGAACAAATTCTTCATGTAAATTTGGCGCCTTTAATTGAGCCACCTTTCAGGTTTTCTTTTCACTTTCCTCCAACAGTAGCGAAATGATTAAAGAAGAGATTGAAGAAAAAACTGGATATAATGTCAGCTCGGAATGTGTTAGCGGACACATAATGGATTGGAAAATGAACTGTGTTTCTGCTCAAATGATGCTATCGACCCCTATAGTCTTCGTTAGTGTTCTTATACTCAGAAAACGAACCATTTCAGCTTTGAATTTTGGTGTAGTCAATGTCTGAGAACACTAAGCGATTACACTCGCAGCTTTTGAAAGTGAGCAACTTCTTTCTTCAATTCCCGAATTTATTTATTATTGCTTACTCATATACGTAGGAGCTATTGTTCCTTCCTTTTTTAAAACTCATTCACAAAAAGATCATAAATTACACACGGATGCATTTTATTTTCAGGTACTCACAATCCAGGCTTGCTTGCCCATGTTTTACGTCATTGGTGCTATCTGCCATGTACTTGGGCAATCGGACATCTATCGTCATCCCCTTGTAGAAAGTTCCTTTATTTTTGTTGCTGAACCTGTACCAGCCTTGAATCCTTTCATCTTGCTGTATTCCATCGGCCCTTATCGTTTATGGGTGCAGGGTGCGCTCCGGAACATATACAGTTCTTTATTTTCGCGACCGAAAAAAAAACAAATGCTGTGGCAGCTATTATGAGCGTAGTGCCCGTTAGCTTATAGACCTATAATCGCTGGTTTTTAAATCTTGATAGCTAGTGTCAGTGAGACGAAGTTGCCTCACTGACACTAGCTGCCATTTCTCTTCTTGAAAACCTCAAAGAATTCCATCCCCTTTCAAAGGTACAGTTGTAAGTACCAATGCTTGCCAACCAAGCTCAAGATAACAGCTCAGAACTGTACTCTATGGTTATAGACGACCGAGCTTGCGCCTCATAGTACAGTAATCACCTGCATCACCTGTCGTCCGGTTGATCATCGACTTCCTCGAGCGGGCGCCAGTAACGTCCCCAATCGCCCTTTCACGGGCCAGAGTGGTCCAGAGAATCGTCCACGCCTCAGGAACATGGGGTCCAACATTCTTTTCGTTTAGAGCTTTCGCGAAAAAGTCCGACCATATCGTTGGCATCCGTCCAGGAGTTCGTTTGATGTCCCGAGGAATCCAGTCGGTAACCGGCCTGGTCCAGATATCATCACTATAATGTATTTTATAACGTGTCAGGCCTAC